TAGAGGAAGGCTAGGGAGTTGTTTCCAAGTGATGGATGCACAGTGATTCGCCGTGAATGGAGTCGGAAAAAATTGCGCCGCTGTCGGGTTGGGTTGGGTAAGACACCAGTTCCCCTATTTTCTTTTTCTCTCATTTCCCTGATGTTCCCTTTTTTGATTCGTCCCTTCCTTTTCCCTTTTCTCTTCTTTTCTTTTTATCTTAGCCATCTACATGTCATTTCCTCACTGCTCCAGATTTTGATGGAGCCTTCTATATATGAAGGTTAAATTTACTAAAATACCAGCGACTTTAAACGTTAATAACTCATTCGTTATAGCTCCAAATTACGTTCCGTTTACGCTCATGCGCTCGTATTGACGAGTACTATCCAAATGCATAAAGAAAAGTAGGAAAATATGTGCAAATCAAATACGTCCTTGAAAATTTTGTTTAGTCCATTAAGGGCGTTTTCGTCCTTTTACTGAAATAAATTTATGCTCTGCAAATATAAACGCATCAATAATAATAATATGAAATACGTAATTTTAAATTAGTGAAATCCGGGGACCGGATTTCACAATGAGGCAATTCATTTATAGCAGTGTTACTTTACGTCGACGATATGATTATCACATGAAACGACAACACGGCCATTGATAAGTTTAAAAACTTTTTACATAACAATTTTTGGATCAAGGACTTAGGGCATCTCAAATATTTTCTTGGGGTTGAGGTTACCTGTTTGAAATAAGGTATTGTTATTTCCTAGCATAAATATAATTTGGATATACTTGAAGATGCATGTATGATTAGGGGAAAACCAACTAATTTTCCAATGGAGCAACATTTGAGGCTTACACATTCAGATGGTGAACTACTCAAAGACCTATCACAATACAGATGCCTTGTTGGTCGCCTTATATACCTTACAATCACAAGGCCGGACATCACCATCTTGGTTCATGTTCTAAACCAATTTATGCAACAACCAAAGAAACCCCACCCTGAGGCAGCGGACTGTGTCTTACGTTATTTGAAGAAAGCACTAGGCCAAGGTGTTTATTCCTAGCACATGGTAAGCTGCAATTGAAAGGATACTGTGACGTAGATTGGGCAAGTTGCCCAACAACCAGGCAATCAGTTACTGGCTTTTGCATCTTTCTTGGAAGTGCACCAATATCTTGGAAAACCAAGAAACAATCCATTGTGTCACATTCCTCAGCAGAATTAGAATACAGATCCATGACATCTCTTACTTGTGTATTAGAATGGCTGAAATATCTTTTGTAAAACCTGCATGTAACACACTTACAACCATGTGTCTTATATTGCGACAATCAGGTTGCTTTGCACATTGTAGCCAACTTCGTGTTCCATGAACGCACGAAACACATCAAAGTTGATTGCCACACTGTGCGAGAAAAAAATACAATCAGGTTTAATCAAGACAACTCATGTTTCTTCAGCTCAACAGATCGCATACATACCCACTAAGCCACTTAGCAGTCCATTATTTCATACTTTCCTTCGCAAGTTAGAAACCTTGGACATCCACGTTCCAACTTGAGGGGGCGTGTTAGAAATCAAAGTCAACTTCAATCAAAGCTTGATTTGTGGATCAAATATTAGAGAATAAATCAAATAGTAATCACTGTAATTAGGTCCTAAAGTTTAGCTATTTGTCTGCTAGTTTACTTCTTTTAGACTAAATGCATTCCTATATAAGTATTGTAAACAAGCTGTACAGATACACAGAAATATACAAGAAAGCCTTTTCTTCATTATCAAATTCTTTATGGCATGTGTTACTTTAGATTTTCTTGATATTAAGATCTAAAGAATTTAGACCATCAATTATAACCTGTTAAAGGTTATATCATCTGTCATGACCCATAACTTAAAACCCTATCACACAATAACGACTATGGATATGAGGATTTTTTTGTTTTGTTTATACTTATGTCCATTTAGCTATTAACTCGCGAGTGCTCGTAAGTAATAAACCAAAGGCCAATTGCCACATGTGTAAGAGTATGGTAAGAGGCAAGTATGCACTAAAATCTCTCAACGTGGTTCCGTCTAAGCCATTAAAATATGCCCTAAACCATAATTGCTGGAGATTGAACTAGAAATTTTCTGAAGTATGCTTGCGCACATAAGCATCTATAATGAGCTGCTAATAAAAACTTAAGAAGAACTTAGGGCCCATTTAGATGAGGAATTAAAAAGAGGGTTTGGACTGTAAAAAGGGATTGGAAAATTTCCATTCTTAACTACCTTGATTGGGTAAAGTGAATAATGATTCTAAATAACGATGAATCTTAGGGTTCCAAACCTTGATGAAGTCCTCTTGAGCCTTATAAAGTAAAGAAATCATGATCTATTGACCAATATAGAAAACTTTTTAATTCAAATAACTTTTTATGAGTATAATGTAAGTGGTGGAAATATGTTGTGCTCTTAAATGACGGTGTGGGTTCAAATTCCGTCGGTGGCTAATCTAACATATAACTTACTAAAGCTATTGCTAGAATAAAAAAAAAATTTAAAAAGAAAAAAAGAAAAAACAAAGAAAAGAAACCAAACTTACCCATGACTTGAAACAGGAAATCCCATTCTAGATGATGGTATGCTTTCATCATATCAAGTTTGAAAATGATATGCCTCCATACATGTGCCTATCAATTTGTGCAAAATGGGGATTAAAACAGGGGTTTAGTAGAAAATAAATAAATAAATAAACAGGTTGACAAAACCCACCTTCGAAGAATTAGTTTGACAAACAAAGGATATGGAGGAGCTCAGGCCATCTCCAATAGAAACGGTAATGTTTAGCCTCTGTCCAAATTATAGTTCTGTAAGAATTTATTTTTTAATGAACAGTGCAATATCATATTTGTATACCATTTCCAACTGAAGGGGCTATTTTTAACCCCCTCAATAATTTATTATTTTGAGTTTGTTTTTTAATTTTATTAGTTAATTGAATTAAACTAACATATTTAGTTAAATTTCATGTTATTAAATATTTTAATTTTATTTGCATGTTAACCAACTTAGACATTAATTCAAAGATCACAATTTAATTGAAATACAACTTCTTAAAACCCAAACTACCCAAACCACCAGTAATTGAAGTTGCATTGTCTTGATCAAGTCCTATTTGCTCAACAAACCTTCCAGTACCAAAGGCCAAATTAGAATTTTTATTTTATTTTTTAAATTTTGTTAAAAAAATAAATAATATTTAAACTCCAGGTCCTATTTGCTCAATAGACCTTCCAGTACTAATGACCCAAACCCCCAGTAATCGAAGTTGCATTGACGTCATATTATTGTTAGATCACAGTTGGGCTTCCCTTTTAGGCTGGCTGGTTGGCTTTCTTTGGCCAGCCCGCTGGCCATTTAGCTAGTTTATGACCTATGGTCCTTTGGCCGACCCAGTTGGAGATGACCTCATTTTACATAAATAGCTTCCAAATTAAAACTCAAGCTATGTGCCATTGTTTCAGCCTTTTTTTTAGTAGCAAGAAGTTGTGCAATAATTTCTTTTAGTGTAATAGGAGTTCATATGGCCAATATCACAGTTCTAATAATGACCTTATTTGGAAGTCGAGATAGAGCAATGACAATATGTTGTGATTTATGGCTCAAAATTAGAACTTGGATATGAATCTGGAAGTGACGAAGGATCAAGAAAAGCAAAGAAGCATCACTTGAAGTTTTTGGTAGCTTGCAACCAGTTAGCGGTGGTAGCCAATCAGTCGAGTACAAGCAAAATGTTGCAACATGCATTTCCTGTTTCATTTTGCAGTTCTATTTAGGTTAGTTGTGTGTCCTATTTTGAGTTTTTTACTTCTTGGTTTGATTCTTTACTTGGTTGAGAATTTTCGTTATTTACAATTTGATTAGGACAAGGATTTGTTTTCCTTACCTACTAGGATTTGAATTTTACTTCTCATTAGGATTCCTATGTAAACCTATGTCCTATGCTATATAAATATGACCTTAGGTTTAGTTCAATAGTGTGTGCCGTCACCATTAGTTTAGAGAATATTCTCTAATTTGGTTTTGTAGTGGAGGTCACCATGTAGATTTGGGAGTCTTAGGAGTCAAATTGTGAGTTTGTGAGTTAAAGTGTAATTCGAGAGACTTCTCCATTTGTTTCGGTTCGCTGCTAGTTTGGTTTTTTTCTGTTAGTGTAACTTTATAGAATTTGGGTTTGTGTATTTTCAAACACTCTTTTGTAATCTCCTTTTGTTTAATGAAATTTTCTTATCGTACTTTGCCACTAGACATAGATTTTTACGCCGAACCACATAAATCTCGTTTTACTTTATCTTTCGCCTATGAATCTGACGTTTGGATTCTATCTGTAAGTGATTCACCCGAGCTTTAGAAATGGAGACATATTTGTCTTGTAAATTTGACTAAACTTCACAGGCTGTCTTACACCCTATTACATGCTTAATAGCATCATTATACCACAAAGCCATATCGGTGGATTCCCCTTTAGTGAATGCAAAAATGACTTCATTTATAACCCCACTTGTAGAAGTAACAACATACTTTGGTGGACTGGATTGACAGAAGCTCCATTAGAGTGATCAAACAATTTATATCTCATCGTGAGGTTTAGCCCACTCCTGTGTAGATAATATTATTCGTTAGAAAAAGAAAAAAAAACTTGAATTGGAGAAAAAAAATAACCAAAAATTCTCCAAACAAACAAAAATTCACAATAGAAGACAGAAAAATTCAAGATTTCAGATAACTTGAAATCTCGAGAATTTGACGGAAAAGAAGCCGGTTCAAGTAGGTTCGGTTCATGATTTCTATTCCAATTCAAAACCAAATCGGATGGAGTATATAGAGCTTCTGTTCGATTGGCGATTGTATGGGTGAAATGGGCCGAACCAAACTATGCTCCTCATTTAAAATTGTGTTTGAATAATCCTGAAATTGTAAAAAAATTTAAAATCTCTTAAAATCCTAAGTAAAATGTCGTTCGATCCCAAAGTGAAACTAATCCGCCTCCCCTCGTAGTACCTCAGACTTCTGACTTTCAACTTTCCCGTAAAGAAAGGACTAAACAGCTCAAAAACTCAAAGGGCTCCAGGGACACGATAATCAAATCAAACTCTCTCTCTAGTCCCTCTCTCCAAGAAATTTCCAAAACCCTAGGGCGTCACCCTCCTGTTCCTCCCTGCACGATCCAATCCAACCATGGCCGACGAACCCTCAGTGGCACCCCCCCAATCCGGTTCGTCTCCTTCACCCTCAGCTTCCCCCCTCGGCAACTCTGTGATCCCAATAGTGAACAAGCTCCAAGACATCTTCGCGCAGCTCGGTTCCCAATCCACCATTGAGCTTCCTCAGGTGGCCGTCGTTGGGAGCCAAAGTAGCGGCAAGTCCAGCGTTCTCGAGGCCCTCGTCGGCCGTGACTTCTTGCCGCGTGGTTCTGAAATTTGCACGCGCCGCCCGCTCGTACTCCAGCTCTTGCAGACCAAGCGCAATGCTGACGGCACTGACGAGGAATATGGGGAGTTCCTGCACGTGCCTGGGAAGCGCTTCTACGACTTCTCCGAGATTCGGAGGGAAATTCAGGTGCTTTCTTTTAGATCACTTGTCTGGGTATTGCTGTTTAGCTCCTAGGAAGTAGAGCATGTTATGCAGTATGATTTGAATTTGAATATTGTAAGAAATACACTTTTTCCGTACAACAATTTTAGCTTGTAAATGTGAACCCCATAATATTTATTGGGCTGCAAAGTTAGTGCAATTCTCTGAACATAATCGGTTTAGCATATCTTCCCAGTCACTAGTTTAAGCGATTACTTTTCAGCAGTTCAGTTTTAAAATGCCACCATAGAAATGGAATTTTTTACTTAAATGTAGCTCCTTAAATTGAAAGTTTTACCAGAAAGTTTGCTTCTTTTTCTGACTTTAACCCTTACTTTCATTCTGCCACCAAAATTTTATTCCAATAATTCCTACTTTTTTGAGTTTTGACATTAAGGTGCTGAGAAACTAAAATTGCTTTATAAGATTCTGCTTAGCTTTTGAACTCTCTTCATTTACTTCTACATACCCAAGTGTGGCCATAATATAATGAGTTATGCTTTCATTTATATTATTTAGTTTTCAATATGTATTCTTATAGAAATTCAAGTGAAATATGTAACTGTTGATGTGCATTTGTGAATTGAAGTATTAAGTTATGTACACACCCACACACACATATATATTTACACTTGGTCTTCTGGTGCTAAATAAATTTCTATTGGCATAGGCCGAGACAGAGAGAGAGGCAGGGGGGAATAAAGGTGTCACAGACAAGCAGATACGCTTGAAAATATTTTCACCAAATGTTCTTGATATCACTCTAGTAGATCTACCTGGTATAACGAAGGTTCCTGTTGGTGACCAACCCTCTGATATCGAGGCAAGAATTAGGACGATGATCATGTCATACATCAAAATTCCAACTTGTTTAATTCTTGCTGTTACAGCAGCAAATTCTGACTTAGCAAACTCAGATGCTCTTCAGATTGCAGGAAATGCCGATCCTGATGGTAATTTCTGCTCTTCTGCATTCGGTATTCCTGGTTAAATTGTATCTAACTAGTGCGTGCAATTTCCTATTGATAGGTCTACGAACCATAGGAGTAATCACAAAGGTGTGATTTTTATTTTTAACCTAGATTTCTTTTACAGGTTTAATTCATCGACACAATTGCAAAATGTTTATTTTGTGCTGACATGGTTTTGGCTCATGTTTTAATGACTTCAGTTGGACATAATGGATAGAGGTACTGATGCCCGTAATCTGTTGCTTGGAAAAGTGATTCCCCTGAGACTTGGTTATGTAGGTGTTGTGAATCGTAGTCAGGAGGTACTTTATCTTAAACTTCAAAGAAGTTTGTTTATTTTCTGCTGTATGTGAGATGGTGGTAAGCTTAAATGATAGTTTAGTGCTGTGGAACAAAAATATAGAAATCTTTGTTAAAGATTCACAATTTTTTTTGCTACTCCTCCCTTTTTGTTCCTTTGATCCTGTCAAAGTCATACCTAACAGTTATTTTAATTTGGTGTTGGCTTTCTTGTGTATATGCAAATATGGATTATCAAATTAGGAAACTAATTTGAAAGGTTTCTGATAAGGGTGTCCTTGGAACAGGATATTATGATGAACCGAAGTATTAAGGATGCTCTTGTGGCTGAGGAGAAATTTTTCCGCAGCCGCCCAGTATGCTTACTCTTCCTTGGATTTATTTTTATCTGTTGGCATGGATTTAAAATCTCTTCTAAATAGAAATTTTCATATGATGATGTAGGTATATAATGGTCTAGCTGATCGCTGTGGCGTCCCTCAGTTGGCAAAGAAGTTGAACCAGGTCTAACATTTTTTGAACTCTTACAAACTTGTCTCATGTTTGCAACTGTTATACTACTGCATGTATACACAGGTTTCTCTCATCTCACTGGCCCTGATACTGTTCATTTGACAGACAGACTGTTGAGAATATCGCGTTTAAGAATGGGAAAAATAGAAAAAACTCTGGAAATCGAAAAAAAATAACCAAGATAAATAACACCAACAATTTACGTGGTTCGGCAATATGTGCTTGTGTCCAAGGGACAGCAACAACAATCTTTTGCTATATCAATAATGAGTACAACCAATAATCTTGCCAAATCTCTAGAACTAGGAATTGACGAAAAATCTGAAAGAACAAGAACAAGAAATACACTATCTCTTTTCTTTTCTCTCACACACACTTTACAATATTCTCTCACTCTAATCCCTTGAGTGGTATACAATTTATTGTTTTGCTCCCTTCAATTCAAAACTAGTACAATATCCACATAATAAAGGTCTTCTTCAATAAGGATTATTAATCCTAATTGGAATCTAGTTATAAATACTACTCCAATTGAGAAACTAACTCCAATTGGGTAAACAACTCCAACTGGGAAAACAACTCCAATTGGGAAAACAATTTAACCTCTAAGACTATAATTCCTTGTAGACTTGGGACAACTTATCATGGGCTGGAAAAACCTAATAATCTCCCCCTCCAGACCATGAGGAAGGTATACCAAAAAAAAAAAGAAATAGGATTGCTCCTCTTGACCAAACTCCCATTGCTCGAACTTTTCATGACTAGACTCCCCATGATCGAATTACTCATAACCAGGCTCCCCTTGATCGAACTACTTATGAACCAAGACCCTCTTGATCAGACTTCTCTTGACCAGGCTCCCTCTGATCGCGATACCCATGACCAGACTCCATGTGATCAAACATCTCATCTTCATTGGCAAAGGCAATTATAGACTTCTTTGCCAAAAAACATCTCTTATCTTCATCTTGGTCCAATCAACATCAGACATACTTGCTGGCTTGCTCGTAACACCTTCAGTAAAGAATGTCCTCCTCTTGATTTCCATGTAACCCAATTAAAACGGGTTGCACCCTCCATTCTAAACGGATATCAGCCAAACCTGGCTCTGATACCACTTGTTGAGAATAACCGTTTAAGAATGGGAAAAATAGAACAATCTCTGGAAATTGAAAACAAGTAACCAAGATAAATAACACCAACAATTTGCATGGTTTGGCAATATGTGCCTACGTCCACAGGACAGCAACAACAATCTTTCACTATATCAATAATGAGTACAACCAATAATCTTGCCAAATCTTGCCAAATCTTTCACTATCTCGTTTCTTTTCTCTCGCACACACTTTACAATATTCTCCCACTCTAATCCCTTGAGTGTTAAACAGTTTATTGTTTTGCTTCCTTCAATTCAAAACTAGTACAATAGCCACATAATAAATGTCTTCTTCAATAGATTATTAATCCTAATTGGAATCTAGTTATAAATCCTACTCCAGAAACTAACTCCAATTGGGAAAACCAATTTAACCTCTTAAGACTATAATTCCTTATAGACTTAGGACAACTTATCATGGGCTGGAAAAACCTAACACAGACACACATATCCATTCAATCTGCTTAGACTATTGTGATTGTCTGGCGTTTTCTTTGTAATTTGGGCTGTTCTGTGTGAAGGTTGCTATATTAATGCAGATGGCTTATGGACTTAACCTTAGTAATTTATTTACAGATTCTGGTGCAACATATTAAGGCTGTACTTCCGGGGCTCAAATCACGCATAAGCTCCACACTAGTTACTGTTGCCAAGGAGCACGCCAGTTACGGGGAAATCACAGAATCAAAGGTGCGCTTATTATTAGTTAAAACTAGAGCGATCAATATGGATTATAGTATTGTACGATTAAATTTTATGTTGTAATATCTTGAGGTTATGGGATTTCTAACCCCAATACATGACTTGTTAGTAACTTATAATCTCTGTCATGCAATCTTCTGTGCTATATATACATGTAATAATATCATAATAGGCAGTTATAACTGTGATGTAACTTCCACGACTGTTGCCATGCCACAAGAGTTGTAAACTTGACTATTTTGACACTTGAATTCTATGCAAAGATTACCCACTTTAATTTCTGGTGGTCTTTGTCGTGGCTGATTTTTTATGCATATATAACTACATGTCTTAATTTTTGTTGCCAATAGGCTGGTCAGGGAGCTCTACTTCTTAACATTCTTTCAAAGTACTCTGAAGGTAAATATGGTTTTACCTGCTATGTGTCCTTTTGGCTTTCCTGATAAATGCAATAGATCATGTCGTTTAATTCGTATCTTTTACCTTTGTATGCATCTGTATTGTGTAGCATGTGAAACTGATGTACAGTATCTGAAATTTCTTGTTGAAAACAGCATTTTCTACAATGGTCGAGGGGAAAAATGAAGAAATGTCAACAACTGAGCTTTCTGGTGGAGCGCGAATTCACTATATTTTTCAAAATATCTTTGTGAAGAGTTTGGAGGTTTGAACTTTGTGATACATATCTAGCTGAGATCTTTATGCCTGAATCTCTGTGATATTCTTTAATTAGTGGAGCAGCATACAAATAGCAATTACGCTTTAAAGTTGCATATTACTTATAATACAATTGTATTGCTCTATCCTAAGCATGATTTATTTCCTTCATCACCAGTAAGATGACAGCATACTGTATTGTAGTTTTAATTCTATCACTTTTAAGAAATCTGTTCTATGTTTCAATTTGAATGCCAGTATAGGTTATTGGTCCATTTGGACAGTTGAGAGCACAATAGATTGCAATATAAAAATTATACTATCTTTCTCTTCACCAATTAAATGGAGTAATTTTCTTGTTTGTTATTGTGAGAATGATAACTTTTAAAATCTTTAAAAGCGTAAGCAGATTTTCTCAATGTGGACACTGGTGTGACTTTTCAATGTTACATGGATATATATGGGTGCTTAAAATTCAAATTAATGCAAGTGTGCTTGTTTTATTTTTTTATTTTCATTTTTAGCTGTTTAAGTCTTTCTACATGGATAAAGGGTAACTTAACTGTTAAATTGTTGCAATTTAAGTTTCTTTATGATGAAAAAAAATATGACCCTTGTCCCTTTTCACAAATTTGGAAGTATATTTGTGTGTTCATTTTTATAGAGTTTAAAATGTCGGATCTGGTTATAGAGAAGTATGGTATGATGAGGTTTAAAAGCTAAATGACTGTTATTCAGTCTTTACCTCTTCCTAAGTTGTTTTGGGGTTGGAATAGCGGTCACCTTTATAAGCTTTGCCATCATTAAATGATATGAATTGATTTCATTTGTAGGAGGTGGATCCATGTGAGGATCTTACAGATGATGACATTCGAACTGCCATTCAAAATGCCACTGGTCCTAGATCTGCATTATTTGTACCAGAAGTAGGTCTTATTACTTTCTCACTTTCTGCTTTCTTTTGTTAAATTGCATACTTATGATTTAGAGGCAGACTTTTTTTTTTTTAAATTTTATTTTTTTATATTAACATGTTCTTTCTTTCTTTAAGTCTTTTCTTTGATTTATGTGTCCTTTCTCTGTTGATCAAGTGAGTCATTTTTACTTCATGCATATAGGTTCCTTTTGAAAATCTTGTCCGGAGGCAAATAGCTCGCTTGTTAGATCCAAGCCTTCAGTGCGCTAGGTTCATATATGACGAGTTGATGAAGGTAGAAAAAGTGTAACTTGGATTTTTATTTGTTTTCGTGGTTATACACATTCCTAATTCAGTTTCCAAATAATATTGTTTTCTGTTCAGATTAGCCATCGCTGCCTAGTAAGTGAATTGCAGCGATTCCCTATTCTAAGAAAGCGGATGGATGAAGTCATAGGGAACTTCCTGCGGGAAGGCCTTGAACCCTCTGAGACAATGATTGGGCATATTATTGAGATGGAGGTATAGTGGTTAAGATACTTTGCATTATAGTGGTGGTGCATTATTTGAATTGTTGTTTGAAAACCTTCAAATGAGGTATTGATCGACGTTGTTTCAATTTTTTTTAGTAACCTCTCCATGAATTGAAAACTGCTGGTCACGGTTTTGTTGGGTAAACCAGCCTTCTGAAATAGTTTCTTGGGCATATAGAACTATTGGGAAAAGTGAAGTTTAGGGAATCATTATGGGCTTCACTTTATTAAATTGGGGAGCTGCTGTAGGATAGCTGTTGGAGTTGTACTACATTGTAAGAGGGTGTTTTGGTTTTCTTTGAGAGTAGCTTTTCAAGTTCTGCTACTATGTTTTGTATGGAGTTTAACTCTTTGGTAAAATTTATTTTCTCATAAAAGAATTATAATGAGCATGTTGGGTCCCAATAAGGATCCTTTGCTTTTTAATACATATTTGAACATTAGCAACTTTAGAACCTGTCAGAGCATCTGTAATTGTTTCTTCCGTCTCGTGTATTTTGCGAGTATATTTGGGTCTTATTGTAATTCAATTTGCAGATGGACTACATCAATACTTCACATGCAAATTTTGTTGGTGGGAGTAAGGCTGTGGATGTTGCATTGCAACAGGTGAAATCATCTCGGATACCACTGCCTCTTTCAAGGCAAAAGGTATATGCTTTAGATGTATAATTTTTTTTCATTGGAGTCAGTCGGTCTAATTTTTGTGTTTTTTAATTATGTCTTTTATTTCTGTTTTGTGAATTAGGATGGTGTAGATTCTGATAAGGCACCAACATCTGAAAGAAGTTTGAAATCTAGATCAATTCTTGCCCGACCGGTAAATGGATTCGTGCCTGAACAGGTATGGGAAAGTCGCCCCTCATTTGAGGTTCATTATTGCAAAGCACTATTTCTATAGTTATCACAGTTGCGTGTGTAGAAACTAGAAAAAAAATGCTAAATTTACTATCATTAATCACTATCAATGTTTTCAATGGTGAGCTGAATCCTAAAGCTTTCCTCGATTGGTTAGCTGCCATGGACTACTATTTCGAATATTATGAGATGTCTGAATCGGAAAGTTAAGTTAGCCAAGTATAAGTTGGTGGGTCAAGCTAACTTATTCGGGACTAATGTTGAACGATAAGTAGAAAGAGCAGGGCAAGAAGAAAGATTGATTAAATGAAAAATATGTTTGTTTATCTTATCAACAACACTTATTGGATTGGTGGCAAGTTCTTCGACAAAAAAGTGTGCCAGTTGCTGAATGCTAAATTTGAAGAATTGATGTGGCGATGTGTGTAAGAGAGGATCAACTAGTGCTGCTTTCTCAGAATCGATTCCTCATGAAGTGAATTTTTTAAAGAGGGCTTGTCAAGTTGTTTAGAGTGCGTAATTTGAAGTAATGGTTTTAAGACTGACTTTCGTAGTTACAATGATCATGGAAGAACACCTGATCTAGTTTCTAAGGATCCCAATACATCAGGTTCTATGAAGATTCAGATTCAATGAAGATTCAGAAGGGAAAGGGAGCACAATCTGATACACAAGAAGGTGGAGTTCAAAGGTTTAATTAATGTAAAGGTTATGGACATTTTGCTATCCTTTGTCCCACAAAGGAGCAACCTAAAAATGTGTTGGCAGCAAGTATTCAAAAGGCATTTGATGGAGGAAGAAGTTTACGCTTTATTATTGTAAGGGTTAAAAAGCGAAAGAAGGCAATCCAATTCCTTTTAGGACTGGATTAAAACTTTTGGAGCAAGATTTTATTATTAGTTCCCTAGTTCTATGGCCAACTTGATCCTCTTCCCCAGGGATCCCAGATGAGGGAACCCTAGGAGAGCTGTTGACTCCAACTACCATCCATGTACGATCCATACTAGATTTGACCAACTGCCCATCTTACCTCCTCTACGTTCTTGACAGCCCATCTTTGTCTCAGTAGTCTTTCAGTGGCATGTTTCGGTCCTCTTTCCCATTACTTAGAAAAAGTGAGCCACCAGTTTAGGTACAAGATACTATCATTACCGCTTGGACAATTAGACATCCAACCCGTAATCGTAACGACCCAATTGCAAGAGCGGAGCTCTACCACTGTTTCTAGAAGGATTTGGTTAATCTCCTATTCTATTTTGGATTAGGATTTCTTTCATATAATAATTTTACCTTTCTGCGTTCTTTAGGTTTTAGGGCTCTATAAAACCCCACTTTGTTACTCATAGAGCACAAATGAGTTTATGAATAAAAATTTGAGTTAAATTTCCTGCAATAGGAGACTAGGAGTTTATTTGGCGCAACAGAAAGGTTGCTCCTTTGTGACTGAAAGGCTACAAGTTCGAGTCGTGGAAACAGACCCTTTGCAAAGCAAGGGTAAGGCTGTGTAGAATACTTTCCCACACCCTTGCAAAACAGGGAGCCTTGTTGGCTTGGGGTCGCCCCTTTTTTAGGAGTTTATTTGGAGCAATTCCACATTCCAATTCTTGGTATGAGGCCAAGAACAGGTGAGAGGCCCTGGAGTGATTCCAGTTATCCTTTTATTTTCATTTCTTTTCAGTTATGTGTTTTCGCTTCCGCTAAGCCATCAAATTTCAGCTGCCCAACTCTATACATCATTTAGTATGTGGCTACCATTTTATTTTTTTTTTATTTTTTATTTTTTATTTTTTTTTTTCCCCACAAATCAACAAAATATAACAAACACAAAGTCCAGTAAATAGAGAGAGTCGATATACTATTTATTATGATACTAATACTAATAGAATTATTTTAAAAAGACTTATTATAGAAGTATCTCATGAAATTGTCCCAAGTTGTAATCAACAACATAGTGGGACCGTCATAAAATGTAGGGGGTTATTTTTACAATATCTTATATTTACAAATCTATATTTTATATTTTTTTCATTATTATAAAGCAGGTTCTAAAAGGCTATTGTATTGATACATAGAAGCTTCCATGACATAACAAGAACCAAATGCCTTGCCTTTTGCCTTCACCTTTGAAAAACTGGTCAATCTCAGCTTGTCTAATTGTATTTATGATTTTGTATGGATGACTGACAGGGTGCACGACCTGTGGCAGACAATGAAAAAGTTGCATCATCTGGGAATATATTAGGTAACACAATTTCATTTTTAATATTTTTGGTGATGTATGGTGACATGTTGACCCTAAAGGATGAATTCAACAATATGTATAATATGTATGTTGTCTTCTTGGTGGGTTGATAAGGCCTTGTGCATGTGCTTTTGTGTGTATCAATGCGTGATTTCATGTTGGAATTCACATGAAATGATGGAATTCAATGTGTTTTCCTTTGTCATCTTTTGCAATTAATTAGGAGGTTCAACTGGTTCAAGTTGGGGGATTTCTTCAATTTTTGGTGGGAATGATAACCGCACACCAGCTAAAGAAAGCTTAATAAACAAGCCATATAATGAACCTATTAACAACATTGAACAAGCAGTCTCAATGATCCATTTAAGCGAGGTATTTTGTCATTTTCAATATTGACTTTGCCTGTGGGCTTTATCTTGTAATTCTATTTTAAATATCAGACAGTATTTTATATTTCTGTGTTTTCCTAACTTGTTTACCCTTCTTTCAGCCCCCAACTATATTGAGGCCCACAGAGAGCCACTCAGAGCAGGAGACAATTGAAATTGCAGTCACAAAACTCCTATTAAGATCTTACTATGACATTGTTAGGAAGAATATACAGGATTCTGTACCAAAAGCAATAATGCACTTCCTGGTAATATCGACTTTCATGGATGTGTGCAGCTATTTACTTTTCATTTTGCGTCTTTGTGTTAGACAAGTACTTATGAGGTACAAGTGGTAGAATTGATTTACATTTAACGTGGGATGTTAAATTTATACAATGGTGAAACTTAAAACTATTTTCTTGCAACCCTTCAAATCTAAATGCTTCCTTTATTATACTCACATTTGGAGCCTTGTGTATATATGTATGTATTTGTTTTCCTGTCTGCCTTGCATGTATTCTTGTACTATTTTATTCTATGAAAGTATATGAAGTTAGTGCTTTTTTAAGCCATATAAATATATGTATTATCTTCCCAAGATTGATTTGCATGATTAAACTCATTATCAGTTGTGTGATCTAAATTGAGTTCTGAGCATTTCATAGTAACTATTTTTGTCATCAATATGTCCTTAGGTGAATCATACAAAGCGTGAGCTGCACAACGTCTTCATTAAGAAGCTTTACCGGTAACAGAAAAAGCATCTGCCAATTTTACATTTGCCGTATATATCTTATGCCATTTACTAGTTTCCTGAATTGACTGTTGATTGATCGATGGTTTGGTTTTTACGGTCACAAACAGTGAGAACCTGTTTGAAGAGATGCTGCAGGAGCCAGATGAAGTAGCAATGAAAAGAAAGCGAACCCGGGAAACCCTCCGAGTTCTGCAACAGGCTTTCCGGGTATGTTTTTTCTTTGCTTATAAACAACTCCACCTGGAACTCCATGGAAGTAGAGGCTCTGCTTTATCTGTGCACATTCCATACATTGGTATGTGCAGATAATCCCAATTAAATGTGGACGACAAATTGAATCAATCTGGGAAAAGCAGTATGGGATTTTAGGAAATTTGATTCATGTCAGCAAATAATTTCATATTTTGGCATAGGACAGTTCATTTTCTAATATAGGTTTAACGAAAATAAATTTCCTCGTCAACTATGAGGCCAATAAAAACAATTTTCCTCTCTAAGATCAATACAACTTGTTAAATTTCTCCTCATCAACCCCTCCTTAAAAACACAATGTTGATTAAGATAATTTGTGACCTCAAACAAGGTATCCCTTTAATTACTACGTCTGCTTTGTAACAAGTATCAGTCACAGAGTATATTTTAAATTCAAAAGTAAATATTTATGAAATGTGGCACAGCATATCCGCAATCTGTGCTACTTTACTGAATCGGAAGGGTGTGTTTGGTAGATGGCTGAGCATTTTGGCTCTTGTTCTACTTGGAGGTTAATATGTTTCATTTCTGGTAGTTATTTTTTAGATTATATCTTTTTGGTGAACTACTTGTTGATAGTGAACTCTTTTGTGTCATTAATTAAACGATGATTCTTTTCAGCATGGAAAAAGAATTTACTGCTTTTAGATCATACAGCGGGAAGTGCTCAGTTTAGTACTTGGTGCTCACTGTTTTTCTTTTGTTTGTAGACGTTGGATGAACTGCCTTTGGAAGCTGACACAGTTGAAAAAGGTTATTCTTTGGGTGCTGATCCAACAGGGTTGCCAAAGATCCATGGCTTGCCAACATCATCACTGTATAATACAAGTAGTTCACATGATTCCTACTCTCTTCACCTAAGAATACAAAGTCTAGAAAGTCGTCTCACTCAGGGGAGCTTCACTCGCCATTTTATTCTAATGCGGATTCAAATGGAAGTGGACGCATGTACATGCCTAGTCTATATCCAACTGTTGATCCATAAGCAGGTTCGTGTAGCAATGCAAGTCTTTCGTATTGTCGAAGCATTATATTCATTTGATTGCTCTTCCGATTCTGTTGGTGATTGGAAGTTCACCTTCAGTAGGCAGACTGTCGGGGAGTTGGTATTTTGTTCCAACTGATGAGTTGTGCAAATCAGGGGGTATCAGGCATTGCTGTTTCCTCTGCATATTTATCTACCCTTTTTATTTATTTATATATAATAGTATAGAAGGCAGACGATTGTTGATGATTGTATTATTTTTTTTCTTAACTAGGACCCAAGAGTAACAGGGTCCTGTCTCGCTTACCTATTTTTGACAGAGATGGTTCTCTCAACTCCTCACTCTCAGATACGTATGTACATATTTTTTCGTTTTTGTTTGAATTAATGTGGGCCGCGACAACTATTTGTGTTGTTTTGTTTGTCTTTTTTTAACAACGGTAAGTTAGTGATGGTCGATGCCAAATTGTTGCGTAATTGTATATTAACTCGAATCAAATCGGACATTGAGTGGCTTGCAAAGCTGCAGCAGTGGGATGGGATTGAACGTCTGGAATTAAAACCCGCTTATAGAAGTCGTTTGTCAGCTACAAGAGTATTTTGTATAGTTCAAGTTGGATACAAAACAAATACGATAAATATTATGACCTCTCTATCTCCCCTTTATCTCAGTCTAGTCTCTCTCACGCGGACCTTGCAGTTCTACAGCCCTCACTATCTCCTTCTTGTAATTCTCTCCAATTGACCTGTGACACCCCCATCGGAAGCCGAGAACTGCCATTCGCACCTCCCCCGGCTCTGTCACCGTCATCCTCTCAGCTTCGGCTGAGAGGTCATTTTGATGATTCATTGATTTTTTCTTTTTTCTTTTTTTCTCCAAGTGAAATTAATGAAGCGTGAAAAAAACAGAAAGTGGTGCATGAAGGAGACAAACAAGTGAGAACTGTGAAGTTGCAGGTTATCCTCTCAAAGTTTGAAGAACTAAGGGATGAATGAAACTGAGTATTTTTCAGAGTCCCTCGAAAGGTTAGAAGAAGTCAGTTTTGGCATGGTGGTGGGAAAACTGAAAGCCTTTGAGATGGAACTTGAGATTGAAGAAGGATACTCGAAAAGGAGCAAGAAACAGTGCTCCGAAAGGCACAAAAGATCAGTCTGCAACAACCAAAGTTGACTGAAGATCTTCAGGAAGACTTGACACTGTTTATTAAAAATTTCGGGAGGATTATCAAGGACAAGGGGAGAGATTGCAGAAGAAATGACAGCACTTCAAAAGATCCATGAGGCCGGACTGAAGGAAGAAGATTCAATGAGAAGAAGCAATTCAAATTTTCAACAAACCGAGAAAATTCTTGTACAAATGAAGATAGAAAATGCTTTACCTGTGGTCGCATTGGACATCTAACGGTTGCTTGTGCAAATAATAGAAGATGGTCAGCTAGAAAGGAAAAGGTCATGAAAAAACTTGGGAAGAAAGTGACAGTGAAGAATCTCACTACTCTCACTGCTCAACAGATGATGAAGAAGGGACTGTTGATCTAGTTGCCGCTGTAGAAGAATTATTCAGTGATATAGAATCAAACAGAGAGTTTGTCGATGCTACTTTAGAGGATTTCTCGGGTGATGATGAAGTGTTCCCTAAAAATCACACAGTGGCTCCCTACTCCAAGCTGTGCATCAAATATGATAGGTTCGTTCACTTGGCTTGTACCACAAAGAAATAATACATTGAGCTGGATAGAAGGGACAAGGAGTTGCAGGCTGAGAATGACACTCTCAGAAATGCAAGGAAAGAGCAGGATGAAAAAAGTGCTCTACTTGAAATAAAAAATCATTGATCATGTTTTGCTGAGTGACAAGCTATCTACTCAGGTAGAATCACTTGAGGAAAGTTGCATCTCTATTTGTGAAAGCAAAGAGAAACTGTTGGGAGATTTGCAAGAGGCAGAAAAATAAAATTGTTCAAACTCACTATTGGTGCTGAAAAAGTTGACAAAATGCTGAAATTGGGTAAACCATGTTGTCATAAAAGTGAACTTGATTTTGCTGGTGAGTGCTCAACTGATGCACTAGCAGGAACAAGGTTTGTGAAGAGTTCTCAGTCTATCTCACTTGGAACCACTTCTTCAACTGAAAGAAAGTTTGTTCCTATTTGTCGTCAATGTGAGGAACTAGGCCACGTCAGACCTATTTGCAGAAAAATACCGTTGGCGATATGCCCTGAAACTCAATCTTTAGAAAATAAAATATTCCAGAATAATGCCCTGAAACTCAATCGTTGGAAAAGATCTTCCAGAATAATGCCAAAATGATTAGTCAAAACTAATACAAAAAAAGGGAAAGATCACTAGGTTAAAGCAAGGCAACACAAGCATTAAAAAAAATTACTAATCAGAACTAAATCCCCTTCAAGATGCACAGGCCTAATGGTTGATGTATCAAATTAAATCATTGTTAAACAAGTGGAAGGGGAGAGAGAGAGAGAGAGAGAGAGAGAGAGAGAGAGAGAGAGAGAGAGATGTATTCCATTTTGAGCCAATGTAATGGCCTCTCCAACATGTTCCTATGCTCCTTAGAACCTTGTCTTGTCCTCGTTGAATCTTCATGGAACATCCATGTAGCTTTCTCCATTGAATCTTCTTGGATCCCCCTCCATAGCTTTTCCGTAAGTTGCCAAAAGAGGCAACCTCCAAATTCAGCATACCTCTAGTGATTTGAGGTGGATGTGCTTAGAAGAGAGATGGAGACTAGTAATCTCTTCTCTAAGGGCCGGCCCTTGATGTTAGAGAGGAAGAGTTGCCCTCCTCTCTTGTTCTAGAAATGAACCACCAAAAACCATAATGAGAAATGAGCTAATTGTTGCCTTATATAGAGAGATGATTCAAGTCAATGACACTCTCTCCCACATCCTATAGGTCCGATCACACATAGAGGAATGGGCCTTTGGTCCTTTTGCCATCTTAATCATCTCATCTCCTTAAATGAAGCCCAATGGACCTGGTATCGCACATTCCCCATCCCTTATTAAACTCTACCAGGCTTAAGACTGAGGGTTTGATCCAGCCTCTCAGGTCATGAACTAAAAACCCGCATCCTTGATCAGAGTCATGTCCTCGATAGGAGTGTCCAAGGGAAGCTGCGATGCCACCTTTTGGAGAAGACTGGTAGCTTGTAATAAGAAAATACATACTAATATTTATAATATTTATAAATGAAAGAAAAGTAACATTTATATAAACTTACATGGAGCTGCTGAGCCATTTCATCCTCGGGCAAAGCATAAACTTCCTTCAACATGTCGATCTCTGCAAACATAGAACCATCTTGAAAAGAAAAAAAGGTTAAAGAATGTTAAAAAAGTTCGTTAGAAATAACATACTTTTACTTCTCATCGCTTCTCCAACATATAGGAGAAGGCCTTGAACCGGAGTGGTAGAGAAGTTTCTTTTTCGACCTACTTTTCATGTTTGCCTTAGATCTCTTATGTTAAAAACAAAATGTACATATTAGCGCGTATATTAAAAAAAACATAAAATATTATTATACTTACCAAAAACTTCGAGAGCTGAAAATGCCTGTATAGCCACTCCCATTCCTCTGGACGCTCCACCAATTTCTTAGGATAGCCTTCTTCGAGAGTGGTCTTCACATCTTAAAAAGACTCAAAATGTTTGTAGAGGTCGCTCTTCCACTCAGAGTATCACTTAATGAAGAGCTCTTGTAGGTAGGTGGTATGCTCTACATCGAGGTTTTCAACATTATAGGTCAAATGAAAATATAAAAAATATTAAAATAGTATGAAATTATTAATAATACTACAGTTTATTCAACAAAAAAAAAAAATTACTATTAAAAGTTGACAATACTAATCGACAACTCATGCAACATCCCTTCTTCTTATCCTCCGGCATTGCTCTCAAGGCTTCCCACTTCAAAGGGCAATGGGTCCATACTACGGTCCCAACATCGTGGGCCAATCCACTGTGCAGCTAAGACGTAGATGAAGCATGGTGTCAGGGATCCTAAGCACGGTATCAGGGATCTAAAATTTTACCAAATTTAAATATTTCCTGCAAATTTCACAAATTTTCATAAATCGCCTACAATTTCACGCATAATTTTCATATTTTATACACATTTCACAAATTTTCATAAATTCCCTACAATTTCAAATATTTCTAAAATTTTACCAAATTTAAACATTTCCTACAAATTTCATAAATTTTCATAAATGTCCTACAAACTTCACAAATTTAATCAATTTCCTAGTACGTCGTCCCCCCACCCCACCACCACCGTGCCACCTCACTACATCATCCCCCACCCCACCACCACTATACCCACCCCATCACTACAATGTCTAACTCAATACGTAATTTAGAAAGCTGACCCGACAAAGACATAAAACTTGTTTGGATGTGCTTTTAAAATGATTGAAGCGCTTTTAGTGAAAATGCTTTTAGAACCAATCTTTAGGAAATATGTAAGTAAATCTTGGAAAATCACTTAAATTGCTTCATGGAAGAAGCACATAACTAGTGTTTCTTGCATAAAGCACTTTAAGTGCTTTTGGAACCAAAAAACATTTTTTCTAAAAGCACACCAAAATAAAAAAAAAAAAAAAAAATCAATTCTCTAGTTTTGAACATTAATTAAGTTCAAACAGTTAAAAAAAAAATTTCATTGAACTTGATTATCAAGTTAATTTAGCGTGTGCTTTTACTCTCAATTTGGGGCCTTGTAAAACTCAAGAAATCAGAGTTAAAAACGACCACTAGATCGTGATTTTTTGTTTATAACCTACAAATGATCAGCTCGTTACCTAATCTCCGAACGTTTGTTGGCGTAAGATGTCTCAAAGTATATGCAAACATGTTTGACGGTTGGATCGTACAACTAGTTTCGTATAATGCGTGTCTCGTCAAAAGAATGGATTTCAAAACAATTAGGGGTTATTCTATACTTCCATTAAGTAGAATGTAGGCTTTTGTTGTATCCACTAGTTTAAACATTTTAAATGGATGATTGGATCTGTTCATCGTATTATTGGGTGGATGATTATATTTGTAAAAAATCAACAAAATCGGTGTCAAAATGACAATTAAATCGTGATTTTTCGTTTTTGACTATCAAATGATGTCATCCCGGTTACCTAATCTCTAAACATATTTTTTTGGATGATTCTTAGTGTAGGATATCTCGAAGTATATGCAAACATGTTTGTTGGTTGGATCGTAAAAACTAGTTTC